GCTGAATTCCTAGCCTTGTTACTCTATGAACCTCTCCATGAACTATCAGCCGCTGCAGTTAATCTACAACTTTGCCGCCTAGTAACACAAAAAACTATTTTTCCTTTGACATGGCACATGGCTATCAAAGAAAGGGTTTGATAAACATAATTCGATATGCTACATGACGCGAGACATGACGTCATGTGAAACCCAATATAGCGGACGCCTTAGGATGTGCTACAACTGACAACCTCGCGCCTTATGACGTCATTCAAAATATGAAAGATTTCGTGGTTAACGCTCTGAGAAGGCAAATTAATACAAATAATTGCAATAATCCTCGCAATAATCATTCACCCAATGTAAGTACTATATTTTTTTCCACATAATATTCGACATTATCGTTTCCTACTACATCTAGATTGCACTGAAGAGAGATATATTATATTTCAGTAATTATATTGATTTTCAAATGGTTTTATCTCTTTTCAAGTGTCGCCAAACTGATGATTTAGGGATTGGTCAGATTTCATAATGGGGTTGTATAAACTTGTCGAATTTACGTCATATTTCTATTTTATATATTCCATTTATTGAGAAGGGTATTTGACAAAGTCATTTATGATTTGAAATGATGAATATACGAATATTTCTCACCTCTTAAAAACGATAGTTCTCGGTGACGTGATAAAGGTACCGATTACCACCATTAGTGTCTTATTGCTCAAAAACCAATGAACATATGTCAGCATCCCACATAGCAATCAGAATTCACTTCCATAGTTGGAGTGTATTGAAATACACACAATACATAGGTCGTAATCCTATAAATTTGCAATAGAATTGATCACGGTATATGACGTCACACATTGTCTTTCGTTTTTCATGTCATGTGAAATTCAATAATTATTATAAATTTGTACAGACTTCTGAGGAGAAAACGATTTGCGACAGTTGGGTTGGAACTTCAAAATAATGGACAAAGATCTTTCTCTTGAACAGATCTATTTTTGTAGAAAGAAAAAATATGTTTTTCTACTCCTTACTCGGTAAGTACTTCATTTTGATACTGATTTGAGGGAGGAAAACACGTTCTACCTCCCTAGGGAGGTAAGTAAATATTTACCTCCCTAGGGAAGCAAGTTGAATAAACTTCATAATTTAACCTAAAAATTGAAGTCCTTGTAACACCGATTGTACCGTTCCTTCGATTTCTGAGGTAATAGAGCAGCACAAGCTGCATTCGCAACTGCATCGATATCCATTATTTCGATTTTTTTAATAAAATGACACTGACAGAACATTTGTTTGATTATAAACAATATGAATTCCATAGCGATCAACGTGTAACACTAGGAAACCTGTCATACATACAGGGTTTTTCAGTTAGATTAGTCAAATTATATAAGTAATTGAAAAACATTTTTTTTAATCTAAGGGAACTGGAGTAGAAAAAATATAATACAAAACTCGAGAGGCAGTGTTCTTGACCAGTCTCGGACTATTTTGCAAGCCCTCGCTATCGCTCGGGCGCAAACAATGTCCTCGACTGGTAAGTATCACTTGCCTCCCTTGTAGTGTAAATAACTATTTCCTCGAATTGCATGCATTTGAAATAAGAAATAATGAAAGATACAAAACATATCAGTGGTTTTCTCATGAAACAAAATTATACGAATCAGTTAATGATTAATAATTCTCAGTGATCATGAGCAGCTATTCATGATAATTTTCAAAATTTGTGAAAAGATAACCATTTCGCGATCATGGAATCTATTGAAATCGAATAAAAATGATTATCTGAAAAAATTATTCAATGGCAGTAATATGTTATGCGACATCGGGCCATTATTCACGCCTCAGACCATAAATAAACGCCTACTTTACGCCCTTGATCCATGAATAACTACTATAATTGTCATCTTGTGATTTCAAGTTCCATAGGTGTTAAAGACCTATGGCAGAAAATACTCAAATGTGATTTTGATGGATTCATTCATGTTAGCAGAGCATGCCGCGGGTTCAATGAAACTTCCTCAAATCCATTCGAGATGAATCATTATACGTTTCACTGAAATCTTGACATGGCCACATGTTCTGCTGATATTCTTGTAACATTGAACTTTAATAATGAATAAATCCATCAAAACCACACTTGAGTTTTTATTTTCTGTCATAGTACTTTCCACCTATGGAACTTGAATCAACAGGTTAGAATCCCACCCAGGGCAAGAAAAATGTTCGATATTCAATTCACGAATTAAAATTGTAAAATTTCCTAACATCGGCTTGGGATAGTCCTGCACGATTCACTGTTGCGTTCCAATTAACAGTGCTGCTCCAAAAGTGGCACATGGAGTAGGTAACAAAGCCAACACAGAACACATAGAAAGAAATGATGATGATGTGGTTGTAAGCATCAGAGAAGAAGTAGGATGGAGGATGGTGTATGTAGGTTAGTGTGAAAATCTACCATCTGAGCTTCAATGCGGGCCAATGCTGCTTAGTGGGCCTTTAATTGGGGCCTGCCACTGCAGCTTAATATGGTTGTGAGTACATTACTAGGCTACAAAACACAACCTAAAACTCTTAAATAGAGCTGATGGACGGTTCCTGAAAAGGGTGTTAGCCGAGGTGTTAGCCAGCTAGTATACTGCTTGCCGTTGTAATATACGAAAAGTCAAACAAACTGGCGCGCTAATAATTGATGGCATGCAATCCACAGCGACCAAAAGGAGTCAAAAGGGTTACGAAAAACTATGAGGAAAATTGAAAGGGACTTCCGTGTTTTCAAATTGCATGCCGATGTGAACAATTGGAGTTCTAGTAACAAAAACACTCTAGGAAAATTGTCATGCGGCCCTCGTCTGACCACCGTATGAAAATTTCGGGATTTCGGGAAAACTGTAAAAATTCAATACAGGTTTTCCGTGATTCCAAACTGCTTGCCATCAGAAAGACAGTTCATTTGAATAATTAATTAATAGCAGGTAATTTGGCGTGCACTCCAGGATTCTGCAAAACAGAGACATGCATGACGAATGTTGCAAAAATAAGTGTTTTTGCAACTTTCATCGAGCATGTCTCTATTTTGACAAATCCTGGTGTGCTCACCAATCTACCTACTATCAATTGATTCTACAAATAAAGTATCACGAGAAACCTGTTGAACTTCAGCTCCTAGGAACAAAAAAGAATGTACTAGGCCATCAAGAATAAACAACATTGTTACGGTTGGTCGAGCGGTTGGTTATTTGGGATGGGACGCATACCTGATTTGTTTCCGATTTTGGCAGATTTGGCATCTCATACCCATGCTGGAGATATAAATACATCATGTAGTCAAGTATTTTTGTTATGATCAAGAAAGCCTTCGAGATTCACATTCATGCTCGACCTCTGTGGTTCATTCGTTATTCTCGGGATCTGATTAATTGGATAACTCGTTTTTGAATAATCACGGCCAGCAATACCTTTTTGCCTCACACAACCACAACGATACTGTTTATTTTCATTTGATAACCGAGCCAAACACAGTGGAATATGGAGAGAAATAAATAATCGCTATTTTTATTGTCGATATGCTCACTAGCCATAACATTTTCTCAGCGTTGCTGTTATCTGATTGTTCAAATACCCCTGAAATGAACCAAAAACGCTCACTCGTGTAAACCAACGAATATTTTTGGTTGACGTTGAATTTGTACAATTTTTCCTCAATTGTTTTGACGATCACCCAATCATTGAATGTACCATCATTGTAGTTTTATCAGGGTTGGCATGAATTAATTCATATGAATTAAATCAGTGATTTAATTCGTGAATTAATTCCATTGACTTTTTTCGAAAAAGTCATGAATTCATTCAAATTTTTAAAAATGAGACAAATTGCACTATTACCTTTGATTTTAACTAGTTTAAACTGAAAAATTCGATCGTATTTTGGCAAGACTTTGTTATTTCAAGCATGACAGAGATTTTTACTAACAGATATATACAGTATAAAGTATCATCCATAAAGTTCATAACATATGAGAACAGGTTTATTATCACAGCATCGATTTTTTTTTCTCGGCGATCCATTATGCATATCCGATAACTTGAAAATCGATTTTGACACATGTCACGTGATCACTGGTATGGTGATGAATAAAAATAATACTATAAAGCGACGAAAAGTGGGGTTAGGTAACAAAACATCCATAAACATTGCTATTCCACATTCAGTTTCGAGCAAGTTTTGGAGGAGAATTGGAAATAGCTATATTTTTATTATTTTTCCTAATATTATTCAATTTTGTTACAATTCTCTTTTTTTTTGACAGTAGTGATGTTGATGATGTACAAGTTGAATAGAATTCAATTTCATGCTCACATATGGAGTTTCCAGCCATTATTTGAGAAAACTGAAAATAGCTATTTTTTATTTTTTTTAAATAACTTCATCTTCTCATCTAACCCCACTTTTTGCCATCCTAATTTTTTGAATTCACCGCCATACCAGTGATCAAGTGACATGTGTCAAAATCGAGTTTTTAGTAGTAGTAGACATGCATAATAGATCCCCGAGAAAAAATGTTTCTATATTCTACTAATAAACTTTTTCTCCATGTGTTACGAACTTTATGGATGATACTGGATCTATATATTATGTTTCTATTATTTTGTATTCTATCATCACTTTTGATTTTGTTTTGAAAAAATGACTTGTTATATTATGATGTTTTTCTACAAGATTTCTGAAGGGAATAAAAACATTGTTTTTTTGTTTTTTTTTATTTCGCTTTGGGTAAATGGAATTTGTTTTTTTTTTTCAAATGAATTAATTCAAAAAAGTCTGACTTAATTCAAAAAGTCGGACTTTGATGACTTTTTTATAAAAGTCATGACTTATTCCAACCCTGAGTTTTATTCAACAATTATAATGATGTTGTTGATTAAACACATTTTTTCTCAATTCAACCCATACTATTTCTTTGAGTGTGCCTATTCCAATCTATAAATTCGAATTTTTTCAGATACAAGAGCGGCATCCGTGGAGGCAGTGCACTGAGGTCCGGAGGGGTGATTGGCAGCGGCGGCGGAGGCGGCGGTAGTGGCGGCGGCGGCGGCGGCAGTAGAGTGTGCGGCGAAGCGAGACGCGCTTACAAGGCGGCAGTGGTGCCGTGCAAGACGGCCCGACGCCGGGCCCGTGGAATGAGCATGGGCCAGAAGGTGTCAGGTGGAGTGAAGGCCGTCAACAGGGACGTGGCCGCGCCCTACAAGCCGGTGATACCGAGAGAATTGGCACAGGTACATACAAAATACCAACACCAGGGTTGGCAAATATCATGATATTTATATTATGTATACATCAAAATATCATAATATCGAAGATACAGGCTGATTCACGGTGGATGGCACATTAGACGTTTCTGGTGAACCAGACAACGGATCATTTTGAAAATTCAATGGAGGGCATATTCGGACATTCTCTAGCCAACTAAAATATTTTCGACAATGCGGTGTTGCCGCTTCTATTAGAAAGCAATAGCAACTTTGATTTTTCAAATGGAACATTCTGTATTTTATTGCATTTTTAGATTCTCCCTGAAGAGTTGATTTCATCGATGTATCACACTTGGGGTCTAGCGGAAATGATTACAGAGATATAGGGTGTGAAAAATCGACATTTTTCAACTTTAGGGTTTTTTGTGTCGAAACTATTCATCATTGGTCAAAACGGCTTACATGTCCCTATCTCAACTTTTGATTAACTATCTACTGATATTTAAGTGGGACATATACCGGGTGATCAAGATTCTGAATTCTGCACCACCCTGTATTTGTTTCAATTAAATGTTAGTAGATAGTTAATCAAATTGAGATAGGGACATGTGAGCCGTTTCGACCAATAATGAATAGTTTCGACAAAAAAAATTCCTAAAGTTGAAAAATGTCGATTTTTCACACCCTATATATCTGTAATCATTTCCGCTAGACCCCAAGTGAGATACATCGATGAAATCTGCTCTTCAGGGAGAATCTAAAAATGCAATAAAATACAGAGTGTTCCATTTGAAAAATCGAAGTTGATACTGCTTTCTAATAGAAGCGGCAACACCGCATTGTCGAAAATATTTTAGTTGGCTAGAGAATGTCCGAACATGCCCTCCATTGAATTTTCAAAATGATCCGTTGTCTGGTTCACCAGAAACGTCTAATGTGCCATCCACCGTGAATCAGCCTGTATATCCGATATACATATATCAGAAATTTCGATTTTGTTCCTAGAATGAAATGCAAAAAAAAACAAAATATACAATACCTTTATTTTGGTAAAAACTAACATCAAACTTCAGTTTAATTTGAAATAACAAAAAAACGAAACAAAAAGTAATATTTTTCCTAAAATATGTAATATAAAAAACTTGTCGTTTGATGAATTTTTAAGGATTGCAAAACCGGGAAAGAGGAATATAATCATCATTATCAATATTATCATCTTCACTCAAGGCAACTAATTCATCATTCGACGAGATCCAGTCCAAGCTTTTGGCTTTTTTATCTGTATTTTGGTTTAAACATTCAAAAATAAATACTAGCTTACTGGCTTTTTCGTTGCATAGACGATTTCTTAATTTAGATTGAACTATTCCAAAACTCGAAAAAATTCTTTCTAAACCAGCTGTTGCCGCTACTGCACTGAATAACTGCTCACATAGTTGTAAGAAGAGTTCTTTTTTTGGCCATTCGGAGTCAGGAATTGCAACCGATTTCCACCAAATCATTAGTAGTAGTAAACAAAAACCGGGGATTCCCCGAGTTGTAAGTCATAACCATGAAACGCACTGTATTCATTTTAAACGAAAAATATCAAGGATTTTTTGCTCCGGTATTTATTTATTTAGTTAAAAAGAAGTAAATGATTCATATCATGATATATACAGGGTGATTCACATAACAACCGACATAGGGCAGGGGCATGTGGGGGGTCCCAAAATATGGCAATTTAACGCAACTTACCTCTATACCAAGTTACTTCCCTAAGGAGTTATAGGCATAGCACTAACAGCATGTCAACTTGCTCGTTTAAAGAAAACTTCCCGTTCATTTCAAAAACACTCAAACAACAATTACTTAATTGAACAACTCACTTGCCTCATTGTCAAGTTCGACGTTTATTTTCATAGCCAACTTTTGAATTTTCGATGATTTTAAATAACACACCTAGATCGCGCGTTTTCAGTTATTCGAGTTTTTGATGAAAATGATGAGGTTTTTCGAAAAATTACTAGAGTAAGAAAAGTTTAAAAATTGAATTGCCCACAAAGCAAAGCAAAGATTTTTGAAATCCATCAAGGGATAACAAAATTATGTTGAATATTGATGGTGCGCCACCCGGTATACCCCCTTTACAAATTTAAATCAAATTCTAGTTACTGTCAAGTAACGCACTAAATACATCCACAATTTGGTTGCTTTAAGTTCAAGAATAACGAAGATATTGATTTTTTTCAAAATTTATAACTTCACTTTCAAAGCCTATATCTCCTTAGGGAAGCAACTTGGTATAGAGGTAAGTTGCGTTAAATTGCCATATTTTGGGACCCCCTACATGCCCCTGCTCTATGTCGGTTCTTATGTGAATCACCCTGTATATCAATCGATAAATATCAGATATATACCATGATACATATCATGATATACAAGGTGTCCGCTAAAAGGAGGTCAATCCAGTAACCATATATTCCTTGAACAAAAATAATATGAGTGTCTACACTCAGTTCCAAAAAAATTGACGCACTTGATATTGATTGATTGATTGTCTTTATTACCCCAAGAAACATAGTTGTTTATGATAGGGATACATAAACAATATACATAATGTTATACATACAATTATGAAATTATAATAAGATATAACAAGTAAAATTGAAAAAAAAAAAAATGCAAATAATCATGCAATATCAACCTTGTCTTTTATAAGTAGGTATTCAAATAAGAAATGGAATTATCAAAGTCTCTGAAGCAGATATTTTTTCAAGTTAATTTTGAATCTAGTTGCTTCCTGTATATTCCTCAATTGACTTGGTAATGAGTTGTATAGAACGATTCCTGTGTGAAAAATGGATTGTTTGCCGATATTTGACTTGAACGTATTTGCTATTAGTAAATTTGATTGTCTTGTTCCATGATTATGTAATGAATTGATTTCATTGAAATTTAAATAGTAGGCCGATTTTTTTTATTTGTTGGTAGGTAATGTAAAAAAAAATAAAGAGGTGAAAATGTTTTCAAAGCCTCCTTGATGGTGGTAGAATAACTCGAACCATTATTTATTCTTAATTTTTGACTCACCCTGTGTATTAACTGAGTAATGGTATACAAAGTGCTTACACCCTATACGAAAGAGTCTTCTTTTGCGACCATTTTGTTTTTTCATTCATTGATTTATCTCTAAAATTTTCCGAATTACAGCTTCTTTGCTGATACCTTACGCTTATCCCACAAATAAAATTTATTGTAGGATCAGAGTACTCAAAATTGATTGGTTTGTACTCTGGTAGGATCACATTGTCTTTAAAAAAACAAATGCCGTTGCCATAGCAACTAATTTGTTGCATGCCTCCATATTTGACCATTTGTCGTTGTGTCATTAATAAAGTGTCTTGTTTTATTGACTAAAATCCGAGCTGAAATCACATAAAATGCCTCAAATAAATCCTGAACAAGTAGCAAGATTAGTTGCGTTAGTAAACGATGGGCATTGTAAACGTTACGCTGCTCGTGCAGTGGGAGCTCATGAAGCAACTTCTCGTAGAGCAATCCGCAAGTACGAACAAACAGGTAGCACCGCTCGGAGGGTCGGTTCTGGTCGCCCCCGAAAAACTTCTCCAAGAGATGATCGCTTCTTGAGATTGCGGATTTTACGGAATCGATCAATTACTGCGGTAAATGTTCAGCAAGATCTTCGCCAAATTCGTGATGTTGCAGTAAGTAAGCAGACGGTATGTAGTCGTCTAAAAGAAGTTAATTTGAAAGCTAGGAGACCTGCAAAAGGTCCCAAATTATTGCCCGAACATCGTGCTGCTAGAAGAATTTTTTTTGAAGATTATGGACAGTGGAATATTCCTGAATGGTCGAATGTCTTGTTTACAGATGAGTCAAGGTTTTGCCTTAACATGGTGGATGGAAGAAAAAGAGTGTGGAGAAGAACTGGTGAACGGTTTAATCAAAATTTAATAACCAGGATGCGAAAGTTTTAGTGGTGGGTCCGTTATGGTGTGGGGAGGAATTTCAATGAATGGAAAGACACCCCTTCATGTTTTTCCGGTGAGGCAGTCGATGGATGCCCAAATTTACATTGACATTTTAGAGCAGTATGTCTTACCTTATGCAGAGTTAGTGGGCAATAATTTTATACTGATGCAGGATAATGCCCGTCCACACACCGCAGCAATAGTGCGAAACTTCTTAGAAGCTACTGGTATTACCACATTACAATGGCCTGCGAGAAGCCCCGATATGAATCCTATAGAACATTTGAGGGATGAATTAGGGAGAAGGGTACGTTCTCGCGAGGGGACTCCGGAAAGTCTCGCAGAAATGGCAGATGCATTAGTTGAAGAATGGGATCGTATACCAATGGAAACGATAAGCAACTTAATTTCCAGTATGCCTCGTGGATTAGAAGTTCTTAGAGTTGCTAGAGGAGGCAATACACGGTATTAAGCAGTCGTCCCAATTTTTAATTTTGTGTTTAATGAAAATGTTTTTTAAAATTATTGGATTCAGCAAAAAAAGCTGTAATTCGGAAAATTTTAGAGATAAATCAATGAATAAAAAAACAAAATGCTCGCAAAAGAAGCCTCTTTCGTATAGGGTGTAAGCACGATCTACGCCATTACTCAATTAACACACAGGGTGTGTCAAAAATTAAGAATAAATCATGGTTCCAGTTATTCCACCACCATCAAGGAGGCTTTGAAAAAATTTTTGCCTCTTAATTTTTTTTAAGACAAATGCATTACTAACCAACAAATAAAATAAAAATAAAAATCGGCCTACTATTTTTTTTTTTTTTTAAGAAGATAAGTCAAATATCAAGTGCGTCACTTTTTTTGGAACTGAGTGTAAATACCATTTTTCATTTAAGCCCTTTATATTCGATATATAGGGTGTCAAAGTTGGAAATTAAAAACTGTTTTTCTTTAATCACTCGCGTAATTAATAAGATATTAATATCAAAATTGGTACATCACTTCAGCACAAAGAGTTACATCGTGTGAGGAAAACAAAACAGAAAATAA